TGTGTGTACGTGTGCGTGAGCGTTCACGTCCGTGTGCGTGCACATGCGTACGTGTGCGTGTGTGCACGTGTGTGCGTACGTGCGCGTGTTTGCACATGTGTGCGTGCGTGTGTGCATGTGCACGTGCGTGTGTACATGTGTACGTGCGTGTATGCATGCGTGCATGTGTGTCTGTGTGCGTGCGTGTATGTGTGTTTGTGCGTGCGCGCACGCGTGTTTCTGTTACACGCACTCTCAACAGAGGGCGCCATCATGCAATCGTCCAGGTGAAACGCCGCCAGTGCACTTAACTATAGCGTCTCACGACCTGCTAGAATCACATATTCTGTGGCTGCCATTAGGCTACAATCCTAGCGATGAACATTTGGCCATGACATGTGTGTGTTCAGGTGAGGCATATACCGTCTCTACGGGATGCAGATACAATGTCGCTATACCCAGGTGCGTGTAACAGAGGCCTGGACCATCTCCCCGGGGGACATATCCACTACCGCTACCCGGCTATAGATTCCCTTATGCGATCAAGCTGTAGAGTTAGCGAGTAATGCGAAGTTAGACATTGACAGTATACCTCGTAGGGCATCGTAGGATACTGTTGGTAAGATTCTAGGATCACCAACAAAGATGGTTTTTAGTTGTAGTGATATAATTTTACGAACCAACATGTTAAGTGATAATGTAAGCGGGCGAAACCCCACACGCCAGGGAATATCTATGTCTTATCAATGGGACATATATTATTGTAAATATTATCAATTTCAGTTTTATACTGCCTGATGATATCTTGTTATCTTAATATTATTTGATATAATATTATTATCTTGATATCTGAGATCTATCTATCTATCTATCTATCTATCTATCTATCTATCTATCTATCTATCTATCTATCTATCTAACAAATAGATGCGACTAACAGGAACATAACATCAGGAGGAGCGTGGAAGGCTGATGAGAACGGCTAGTATCCCAGGAGTGCGACCATGAACGAGGTTAGATCCAACAACATGGAGGATAGCGGGACGAGTTACCCGCCGGCGAAATTTTTTTTCCCACTTGAGTTCCGGACCCACCATAGATAGTGTTTTGTAATAAATGTTGCTTATATATAGGGTTGGATTATAGTTATTGTTAGGGTTCGAGTACTGGTTAGGTTGAGGGTTAGGGTTAGGGTTAGGGTAAGGGTTTAAGTGTTAGGGTTAGGGTTAGCGATAGGAGGTATTCATTTTACATTGTTGCTTCGAGGAAGTCGATTGAATGGAGTGCGCTGATTGGCTGTGGTCCGGAACTCAAGTGGTAAAAAAAATTTCCCGCTCGCAGACGGCCGAACAATTCTCAGGCAAGAGCAGAAAGATTCTCTAATTGACAAAAAAGAGAGCGATAAACTCGCAGGGCCAACTATAGTAAATACCTATTGATTTAAATGACTGAAATTAATAAGTTCTTGAAATAAACGCTACAATGTAACATGAGTATATTACTAC